TTATTTATATTTATTTCTTCAATTCATTTTTTCAACCTATATAATGAGTTACATACTATCTATTCGAATATTTTGATATATTATATATTTTCATAATTACCAAGTGCTATAATCTAAATTATTATACATTTTTTTTTCATTAACTTATTTTTTATTTATAAAATAGTATATAAGAAAAGAATAAATATTTTTAAAAATTGGATAGTTTTTAATGTACATAGGTACTTCTAAGGTGGAATTTATAATTCTGAATTGCACCCGACCATCAAATTTTATTTTTATTAGTATTATTTAAATTTTCAATACTATTATTACTGCATATGATATATTCAATGGGCGATGTACCTTTTTATAGTTAAATTGACTACATATTTGAAACTTTTATTAATAATTTAAATTATTTATTAAGTTATTATGATTTAAACATAGTTTTATATTTTTGTAATTATTTTATTAATATTTTAAGTACTTTTGAATAGTGAATATAATTAATTAAATTAATACCTACAGCCATAGATGATAATATATTTAATCAAATCAATTTCCATAATAATTTTTGAATTGTGCCAATAATTTACTATTAAATTAATATAAGATCTTACTGAAAATATATCCAATAAATTTACAGTCAAAATTTCAATTTAAGCCAATTTATAGTTAATGAGTAATAGTCATTGAGTGTATAAAAACTAATTATGTTTTTTATGCATATGATTTGTTAATAAATAAATATTAATTAAATGTCAAATATAGACGAAAAATTTTTCTGCCCAAAATCATGTCAATTATGACAATAAGGATTTGTCCATTATATAGGTATAGATATAGATATAGATTTATAGTATAATTATAGGTTCGTATATTTATGTTATCATTGGGTGTTATTATCTTAATTGGTGGTATATATATTTTTATGCATTATTAAATAAATATTTTTATGCATTATTAACTATCTGAATGATTCTCATTATTAAAATTGATTTTTTATTTTTAGAAAACTGCCCAAAATCATGTCAATTATGACAATAAGGATTTGTCCATCATATAGATATAGATATAGATATAGACTTATAGTATAATTATAGGTTCGTATATTTATGGTATCATTGGGTGTTATTATCTTAATTGGTGGTATATATATTTTTATGCATTATTAAATATATATTTTTATGCATTATTAACTATCTAAATGATTCTCATACTTAAAATTGATTTTTTATTTTTAGAAAAAATGAAACTGAAAAATTTATTATTATTTTTATATAAATTTTTTTCTTAAAATTCTTATTCAATAACTTTTAGGAACTTCAAAGGTAGCTGAATAGTAAGTCGCATAAATATTATTGTAGATTCCATATTAATTTGAATTATTAATTGAATACTAAATTAGTTAAGTTAAATGCAAAAATAATTAAACTTACAATTACACAACCAAATGTAGAAATGTTGTCAATTATAGTCATTGCATATCATCTTTATTTAGCAATAAATTCCATCAACTCCCTCTTTATATATATAGAGATAGATGAAAAATGTTACCAGTATATAATAAATGTACATAGAGGTGTAAATTAAATTAATTGGTTATGATCAAACTTGGCGAGTTAAAGTAAATTATTTTAAATAGAGTAGATTGAGTGGATAATTTTAAATTTGAAATTAGATAATATTTAAAATATAATTATTAAAGTTAGTGAAGTAAAAGTAAGAGAAAAGTTATAAGAAGTGATATATAGTTGAAATTATGTGAGTAGATGAATAGTGGATTAAAATTGACAAAAATTCTATGGAGCCATCGGATGGTTTTTCTTATGGAGCCATCCATTCACTACAAAAATAAGGGTGAATTCCAACAAAAAATTCCAACAGAAAAAATTTCCATTGGAAATTNGGGTCAGGCTGATAATATTAATTCTGATAGGCTCGAACGTGGATGATCTGGGCACTTCGGAACTCGGTCAGTGTTAAATAATCAGCTCAGAGAACCTGTCATATTTATGTTTATTTAATACACATATCCACGTGTAATATTTTAAGAGGCGAGGCCAAAATTTGATGTCAACATAGAGGCCCCTGACTTTAGGACATGTTCTTGAATAGAACTGTTCTGAAGTCATACGTAAAATGAATTTTGGCTGCGATAAACGATACATTGAAGTTGGCCGAATATTTTTGGAACCATGGACGTTTTGTGGATCGATACGTAGGGCGCTCGGGCCTTTGTGAGTGTTTTTCATGATTTATGCGATGATTTTGCAACGACTCTTTTGCTACGTATTTGTAATGGTAGGCTCTGTTTGGCCTTTTTTAGTTTTAGGGCATTTCGGCCGAACCGTGCACTTTCAAGCGTTTGGCTTGTTTGTTGATGTCAAGATGCAGGTTCAATGCTCGTATATGATGAACGTATATATAAGTGAGTAAATATATGGTGAGTGCGGTAAATGTGTCACCTCGACTGCTTTACCAGGATATTGGCCGTACCAAATCAACTTCAGGATTTGGTGTAATAGGCATTTGTTGTACCAAATCAACTTCAGGATTCGGTGTGATGTGCATTTGTCGTACCAAATCAACTTTAGGATTTGGTGTGATGTGTATTTGTCGTACCAAATCAACTTTAGGATTTGGTGTAATGTGTATTTGCCGTACCAAGTCAACTTCAGGACTTGGTGTAATAGGCATTTATCGTACCAAATCAACTTCAGGAGTTGGTGTGAGAATTGGGCAAGTCATCTCAGCCGGAGCGGAAGCTCCACGGCGAGGAAAATATAGACATCGCTCAGCCAGAGTTGGGCTCAATGGCGAGAAAATATGGACGTCAGCTCAGCCGGAGTTGAAGCTCTACGGCGAGAAAATATAAACGTTGCTCAGCCGGAGTCGAAGCTCTACGGCGAGAAAATATAAACGTTGCTCAGCCGGAGTCGAAGCTCTACGGCGAGAAAATATAGACACCACAAATAGATAAGGGACTTCAATGCTGGCGTAGACAAATAAGTGGGGTCGCGAGTAGTCAAAGGATAAATTAGCAACGTCGGCTTGACGTCTGACGTCGATATCGGGCAAACCTTCAGGCTTTAATTGCAACTGAGGTGTTGGTCAAAGATGGAGAGGTCGGCCAAAAAGATTGATCGAATATGGTCGTCTCGCCAACATGTCGCATAAATATGCCATATGAGAAAAATATTTAAGCCCTCGTCGACGTATGTGCTGGCTCCTTTGAGTTGTAATATTTCATCCCACTCTTCTCATTTTGCTTTGGCTCATTTGAATATAATTTTCTGGCCCCATAGTCTCAGCCCACTTTATTCATCCGTCTTCCATTCTTAAGATTAGTTGGCCTTGGTCGTGAGTCCACGGCTAAGTAAATCAGAAGTTGGCCGTGTTTATAATCGGACTCAATGGGGATAATCAGAAGTCGGGACCCGATGATGAAGTCGGTTTGGCCCCGGATGAAGTTGGCCGTAAAGTTATCGACCGCGAATGGCTTTTGAAGTCGGTGATAAAAGTGTGATCGAGACCCATCGATTGAAGTCGGGAATTGAAGATGACGGGATGTCTTAGTTCAAGGCAAATCTCGCGAGGTGGGTCCGACAACATGCCCAAATTGGAGACGGCGATGTCGCTTCCGACTTGATGAAATCAACGTGAAGTCGGTTATCCGATCCCGAACTGAGGTCAGACATTCGGTAGTAAAGTCGGTGAGAAAGAGACAAGCCCGAGATTAAGGAGGTCGTGCCCGATTTGAAGTCGGTGATGTAGCGTTGGTTCAGGTTTCCGTGATTTAGGAGATCCAAGTTTATGTGAGTCGTTGATTGATGTCTGTTGGTGCCGACGATGGAGGTCGGACGTCGGAGCGAAAGGAGCGAGGTCGGATCTGCTGTTTTCGTTTCAGCTCGACAATGATGACATCGGGGAAGGTAAGATTGAGACCTGTCGACTGAGGTCGGAGGTCGGAGCACTTGATGCTCGAGGTCGGAAAGTGGTTGTAGAGCTCGTCGACGGACGTTGAGGTCGGGCCCCGACTGCCGTAATTTCAGGGTTGGAGCTCGTGGTAGGTTTGTGAAGGGGTCGTTCACGGCCGAGGTCGAGTTTCGAGGTTTAGGCAGAACGAGATCAACAACGACGACCGTGAGGTCGGGGACCCGACTGTGAAGTCGGTGGTGGCCGGCGGGCAAGGGTGAGAGGTCAGTTATTGAAGATCCCAGTGGTTGCAATTGGAAGATTGAAGAAGACGAAATCGGTGCCACCGACAAATCAGAAATACGGTGGTAAATCAAAGGCCAGTTCATCCGGCCCAAGTGGTGTGCCGGAAAATCGAACTTCGGCGGCTGTTTCAAAATCTTTTGACTGTGGTCACCCCAGTGGTATGTCGGGAAGTTAGACCTCGACGACTGCAATGAAATCAGTCTGTTTTGAGGACGATGGTCATGATTTCGGGTCTCGGCGGTTGAAGTCAATTGTGAATGTGCCGGCCTGGGCTATGATTCGGATGCTCGGGCTATAATTTTGGAGCGAGTTGGCCGTGGTAAAGTCGGCCAGGTTGTAGTCGGTAGTCGGTTACAGTTACCCTGCCGTAAAAAACGTCGGTGATGACGACGTCGGCCCGAGCTACGGTATAGAGGCCCGAGCTATGATTGGGATGTCAGATACGGCATGGTCGGGCCCCAATTTAAATTCTGGAGGTCTGACCATGGAGATGTCAACCGACTTGACTTAGAGCTCGGATTCGAGGTCCGAAAACTGTGAGATCAGGTCCGGGGGCGATTACGTGGGAGGATATCGTCCCTGGATTGCTATGTATAGGCTCGGACTGTAACTCGGGTACGTGGGCGGTGAAGATGTCATCGCGATTTTGAAGACCTGGACTGTAATTTAAAAGCTCTGGCTATGATTTCGATGGCAGACCATGGTGAGATTGGTTATGCTTATGCAGTTTGGCGGCTGACACTTGCTCGAAGGCGACGTTGATGGTCCACGTGTCCCGTGTTTAACTAATTTGAATGGCTGGGAGCTGTCCAACGCCGTTCCTTAGGCGGTGTGATTCATAGATTTTTTTGTTCTCGCAAACGGTGGATTATCCCAAAAGAAAAAGAACAGCGAGTTAAATAAAATTCAACAACTATATGCTTTGGCCAATATCTTGATAATCCAAACCAAACCAAACAGTATGGAACTTGTAATAATAAAATAAAAAAAATAAAAAAAAATAAAAAAAAGTTATGAATATGTATATATATGTTTATTATGTGGGCAGTACACATATGTGTAGCACATGCAATTTATTTATGCAGTACATATATAACGTAGTACATGTGCACTACTTATGCAATACAAGTATGCACACATTTTTCATTATTGTTAAATGTTAATTGTTTATTAGTAGAATATGTTATTTAATTGATAAAAGAAGGTTAGATTTAGGTGGGTTAGATTTAGACTCACACAGCTCTGCTGGTTTTCCCTCGTTGACCCCGTCATCTTTCTCTTGTCTTTATCTAATGAAAGATTCCTTCAAATTTTCCGTGAATTGTCCGACGTTTTGGCAGAAAGATTTATCGGATCTGAAGGTTGCGCTCCCAAACGGAGAGGAGGTCTTCTTTCTAGTCAAAATTTGGGACCGAGTTGGCCATGGGATACAAAGTTCGGCCGGTGGTTGTATAGTTGGAAAGGCGAGGATTTCGGCCCGGTTCTGAGGACGTGCTCGGTGTTAAAGAGGTCGGCCCGACCTCGAGGTCGGGCTCGTTGATGCAGACCTCAGCCCGGCTTTGAGGTGGCGTCGGTTTGGTTGTGTAGCTTGGTGGCTGTTTGACGTCGGGGAGGCCGAAGTCGGTCTGTTGTGAGGATGTTGAAGAACCGACAACGCGAGGTCGGTGGAACTCGCCCTTCAGAGGTCGGCAAAGGAAGGTCGGGCCGAAAATGCAATTCAAGACGTTCGCCGGTCGTGAAGTCGGACCTCAGCCAGAATTTGTGGGCCCGAGTTTGGTAGTGATGAGGATATCCGAGCTGCAGCAATATTGATTCTCGACTACTAAAGAAATGAAGTTGGGGCATAAGCTCGATACTAATTTTTGATATTAGAGATTGACATCAGAATTTTCGGGCCCCTAATGATATAGTTTGAGCCAATCCGATGTCGGAACATTTGATTTGTATTTCGGCCACCTCACCCATTTTCTTATCACTTTCTATTATTGGCACGCAAAACAAAAAAACAAGTTTTCTTCTCCAGCTTGAAGATTATCTCAAAAACTACCGAAGTCATCCAAAATAATAAAAAAAAAAATCCAACACACCAACACACAGGAGATTTTCCAATATTGTCGGCACTCAATCCATTTTTCATCTTCAAGGGAACTTGTGTGGAGAAGTGAAAACTTAATACAGAACTGTATATCTATGAATTTGAATAACAGAGCACTGAATAAAGAAAACTTAGAATAGGATTATGAATAATCTTATCTTGAAATCATCTTCTTTCGGGGTAGAGATGTGGTTGTGAATCAGCGAAAATTAACTCCGAATAAATTACGGAGCCCTTCCTCTAGCGCCAAAATGTTGATAAACGGATTTGATCAACTAAAATGAACACCCCTATTCTGTGAATAATCGGTGTTCGATATATCTTGAAGATAGAAAATCAAGAACCCTTTGATCTTTTTGTGAGGAGATCAATCCCCCCCCTTTTCTTTCCTACCCCATATTTATATATACTGTACACATCTCTTTCTTTTTTACAAGTGGGACAAGTGGGGACATTAAGAAATAGATAAAAGGGGTACACTAGTATTTAATATGATATGACGCCGTGGGGCCCGATCGTGACACTTGACGGCTTCGATTGATGTCTATTTTATCGGCAATTATTGTGTCTGTCGGACTTGGATCTTCTCGATATCCGGGTCAGGCTGATAATATTAATTCTGATAGGCTCGAACGTGGATGATCTGGGCACTTCGGAACTCGGTCAGTGTTAAATAATCAGCTCAGAGAACCTGTCATATTTATGTTTATTTAATACACATATCCACGTGTAATATTTTAAGAGGCGAGGCCAAAATTTGATGTCAACATAATGTTAGAATTATGATGGTATTATGTTTTAAAATTTTATCATCGGTTAAAACAAAGTACATAACTATTTGATTGCATATGAGTCACTATATTAATTTCATAAAATATAATAAATAATGTAATTTTTTTAATTTGGGGGGATCATGACCAATTAATTAGCCGAAAAACATTAAAATTTATTATAAGAATTGCTTATGCGATTTTAAGAAATTTTACTATGACATTAAAATAAATTAATTTATTTAAAAAAATAATCGCTAAATCAAATAAAAATATAATATTGATTTTAGAATAAATAAGTTGAACAAAAAGTTTACAATAAATTTTTTATGTTTATGTAACTTTTTTATGTCATTTAGTTTAAAATATAATTATCAGTTTTAATAAAATCTATTATATGATACAATAAAATAATATAGTTATTATTCAATTAATATAAAGTGTAACAACTTTTGTCTTAATTAACCCTAAAAAAAGTTTAAAAATATATTTTATCGTTAATAGAATATGGTGAAATAATAATAATAATAATAATCATAATAATAATAATAATAATAGTAATAATAATAATATTAGATTGTTACGGTAAACAACAAATAGTTTAATTAATTTTTTTTTTTTAGTAATTATATAGAGAGATATAGATGATAAAATTTAATTGTAACGATTTTTGGCAGGAAAGTAATGAGATTTTATTAAATAAGTTTTATTAAATGATATGCTAGAAATTATATATATATAGATTAGTTCACATTTAATTTATTATTTATCAACTCACCTAATTGTAAATATTATACTTTTTAATCACTTATCTCATTCTTTTACATCAAATCAATTTTAATTATTTTGTTTTAAATATTATTTTATTGCAAACTTAAAATCAACAAAAAACTAACTAAACCAACTTTTTTTCAAATTAATTCTAATTAAAAAAAAACAATCAAATACCAATATAATTAAAAAAAATATATTAATATACATGAGTTAGAAATTAAAAATTGCCCATGCCACAAACAAAAATATAATTAAAAAAAAGTAGAAATGAAAGATTAATATGCTCTATCAATATTTTT